AACATTGCACACTTTACAATACAAAGGGATCCCCAGTGTACTGATGGGAGTTGAAATAATCCATTCATTATTCCCATTATTCAAGGCAAAACAGGCAAGCATAATTATAACTTCAAAAAAGCATTTAAACTCAAAAAATTTTGCCTAATTGAGAATGCAAAAATAGGGAAATAGGGCAGAAAATTGACTAATATCCTACATTTGTTTTAATAAAGTTGATAATGTTGCATTTAATTTGCACTTTTATGAACCTGGAGTACGCAAGTGAATTCATGTTCCAATCATCTTAAATTGAAATATTTCAAACAAATTCGAGGCAAGTTTGATAATTGACAATTAATTAGGAATACAGTTACTGTTGCTACTGCTTGATCGGATCGGTGGTAGAGTTGAAGCACCGCTAATCCCAAATACCAGCTTATTATAAAGACTGGTTGAGTTAGGCCTATAGCCGAAACTTCTTAATCCGAGGTCTTAAAGACTAATTGGGGGGGGGAGGGGGAGGGTGGCAGGTGGAAAGAATGTAGGAATGAATGGTTGTGAGAGGAAAGCTGTTTAGTACATTGTAGAGAAAACAAATCGCTGAAAAGGGAAGAGAATTAAAATTTAACTTCAAATCTGCTAATTAAGTAATCCTTCGTCAAAAACAAGATCTACGGCAATATCGCCCTCGTCATTGAAATCTCAAGTTACACACTTGCCCTTCTTGTTTAGTAATGTCATTTAAGGGAGTATTATGGTCTAGAAAAAAAATTTCAAAATTTTTGCATATTATTATAGCTTAACTATTTAAAAATATGTCTACGTGAGGATTTTCCAAAATTCAAATTATTTTCGGAGAAATAAGTATTTTGCTGAGCAGGCATCCAAATCGGTTGGGCTGCAACTAATCGAACAAAAGACATAATGGGCTCTCCGACTACCTGCACCTATATTTCTAAGTAAGCCCTTTTGTTCCGTTATATCTATCTATCTATATATATTTATATAAATATTTCACGACAATAGATTTCCGGAACAGGCAAACACCAGTTTTACGAGTGCATCAGCAGCAAAATTGAGGAAAGAGGTGATGAAGAGGTGATTATAGATAATAATTACAGCTACTGTGTTTTGGAATTTTTCACGGTCATTTCAGCAATATCTTCGTTTATTTCGTGTACTACATGCAACAACGAGATTAGATTTTCAAGAACGGCTCAACGCGGACTCGGGTTCAAAATTGCATTATACTGCAGTTGCGATAGTCTACGCTACATTCCATCACGTCCATTCGTTGACAAATCCTTCGAAGTTTATCATCAGAAGAGTTATTGACACGATGTTTGGGTTCAGAAACTCAAAATAATAATGAGTCTCTAAACTCGCTGATATGAACTTTTGCTCCAAAGCATATCCATTCCGGGTCTCAGATCATTGAAAGTGGTATTTTTAATGAAGGCTTTATACCGATATTGAAGATGATGACGATTATAGGAGTGAAAATTGATTCAGAAGCGCATGCTTTTGCATTTAGACGAGACAACGCCCGGATTGACCGCTCCGAGTTACGAGCATTCAACGCATCAATGGAAGCCAGAACTGCTCGAATAAAAATAGTGAAGCCAAAAATAGTTTTTTTTCGAAGTCGAGGAACCTCCGATGTATGCAACAGGAATGGCAGATTGAATAAATGTAAGTTAAAAATATAATTTTATGACTTAGACTGCACGAATTTTTTCTTGAAACTGTCTTCTTGAATCTGATGCCTACGATTTCTCAGATTCTGCCAAATTGATTTACTTGAAATTTTAAGAGAGTCTGCATTAGGGACTTGGCTATGTTCGGAACTAAGCCATCCTCAATTTTTTATTTTTATTATTTTTAAAAAAATCGAAGAATGTTCAAAAAGGTGGTACAAAATAGTTTTTTAGACAGTCGCCATTTTGTAAAAAAAATATTTCTAAAACTTTTCCGTAGTTCCGAACATAGCGGCATAATTGTAGATTGATAATCTTTTTTTAATTTTGATTTCAGATTGCTTGGAGAGTTAAAATCGTGGGTATGGTCACGCATCATATTTTTGAGACGTCCCACTCCAACAGCTGATAACTAACGGAATTTAAATTTTTTATTTTTTTATTTTTTTGTATGCTTCTAATGTGAATAAATAATGTATAAAATATTGATAATAGAAATATTGCTTGCTTTTTTTACAGCACTTCAAAAATGACCTAAAATTTATGCATCCATACCAGAATACCCCCTTAAGCCAAAAGTGAAATGAGGTTAATGAAATTTTGAGACTTGCTGTTTGATGAAAACCGATTATCTGAAGTATTGAATACAGTCGAATTCAGTTGTCATTGTTATTAGGGATGTTTCAGAATTACAAAAAAGAAGGAGTAGATGAATTGGAATCTTCATCATAGAAGCTAAAACGATAGCCAGCAGCTGCAAAATCCGAATAGGGCGATGATTCTGTAAATGCAGAATGGCAGTGAAACCAACTATCACCTAGAAAATATGAAGTAAGTTGAAAATCTCTAAGAGGTCTGCCAAACTTTATGCTGTTTCAACTGGGGTGAGCCATAGACTTACCTTCACATGGTGCATACTGGGCAACGTATACTCATACGGCAAAAAGTCTATTAACTGGCAGTTGACTTCTGACTTCAAACTACCATCACCCCACTGTATGCCCTATTCGACTACTTCCGCAGTATTCACCCTACCTTTTTTCTACCTTTTCTACCTTCGTCTTCGAAACACTCTTCTGTTCCCCCACCCNGAATTCAGCTCCAATTAATTCCACTTTGCTCGATCCTCCCCTTTTTGACTAGAAATTTCTTCCAGCGTTCTGCGCATTGGTTTGATCGTTTTTTACATAAAGTGGTGTGGGATAGACTTACCCCCCCTGGGGAACGTATACTCATACAGCAAAAAGTCTATTAACCGGCAGTTGACTTCTCACTTCAAACTACCATCACCCCCACTGTATGTCATATTCGACCTCTATCACAGTACTCAGCTTACCCTTTCTGAGCCTTAGTGTCTCTGTTTCTTTTGCATCTGTGAATCCCTCTTCTATTCCCCATCCCGAATTCTTCTCACTTTGATGTCTGCTATTCCTCCTCCTGAATTCTTCTCACTTTGATGTTCCTCCATCTGTGAATCACTCTTCTTTTCCCCCCTCCCGAATTCTTCTCACTTTGATGTTCCTCCCCCCACCCTCCTCTTTTAAGTCCGAAGGCAACTAAAAGGCCAATGATAACTATCTAAAAGCCTGCCTTTTGTTATAAATATATATTTTACATAAAGTGTGATTTTCATATCAAGGGAAGTGAATAAATTCACTGCAATGAAGCGTTTATATATCGAATTTGTTTAATACGATATGATCTGTTCAGGTCAATTCCTAGTTCATGCACTCTTTACAACATTAAAACTTCAAAGGCATAATGTGGTTAGTGGCACGAGTGACATCGGATTATCATTTTTAGTACCGACAATTAGTTTAACTAAGTCTTCTCGATAGTAAAGCCATAATCCAGTCTTTATTAATTCATGGTAACTACTATAAAATTATTTTATGTAAGCCCATATCTTTTCGTCAAGTTCAAATGTGATTACTAACAGCGTTCTTTGGTTCAACTAACTTAACGCATTTGACGACGAATAACCATGACCTCAAGTGGCCTTCATGTCAACGCATTCCCAGGAAGGACTACTTGCAGATCGAAAGAGGTAGGTATCTGCAAAAGCTTACTTATACGGTTTTCCCTATGTTATATCGACAATGTTCAACGAGAATGAAATTGAACAATATTTTAAAAAAAAACATTTTGAAAAAAACGTAAAGGAAATGAGATGATTGAATGCATGCTAAACGTTCTCTCCAATCTACAAGAGAATTTAAGCGTATTGCTCTAAACAGATCATGACTCAATTTGAAATTAAAACCATGCATATGGATTGCGTCATCTGTCCAGTGAAAAAAAACCGTAAACCTTTTGGGAGTTGCTAATTTCTATCACAATGAAATGCAATCCTAGGCACTTTCATACAGTATCAGATAAACGCTTGCAAGGCAAAATTGATGACCCAGCATGTTTAGGTGATACTTTAGTAGAATTCAAATATTTTGGGAACGCAAGTTTTAAATGTCTTGTCACAAAACCATCTTCTTTCCGATTTCATTTTGGTTTGTAACCCATTGTTATTTAAGAAGTAGGCAATGGTTTGTTTTTAATGACCTTGTCTCCACGAAGGAAGTTTGGGTGTCCTGTATGCTAACTTCATAAGGTACATATGCACTCATGTAAACGAGGGGCAATAGTAGGAATTCGTGAATGCGAAGGGCCAAAAAAGTAACCTGAAAGTGGCATAGGCACAATATAGGCTCATAACGTGGAAGATGTTTTTCTTACCGGAGTTTTCCGAAAATCCGCCCAGGACAGTTAAACGCAAAATTCCATTTCATGAAACTATTTTTAGAACCCAATAACCACTCACCCGAATAAGCACCCATGGGCAATAGTACAGAAGTAGACGATGCTGTCATTTGACCTACGTGCCTCGTTTGTTGTCTGGGCACTAATGTAACCCTCAGCGAAGACTGTAAATCACAAATGCATACTTTCTAAATTGTTGCATATTAGGGCTCCATTAACTGCAAAAGTTCCAATAAAATTTAAAATCCAGAGGGTAATTTTAAAATGAAAGATTCCATTCAATCTTGATTTGCAGTCATTGTTAATTATTCTTTGGCAAAATGCATTTGGGTGTTTATAGGTTGACATCTTCAATGACCGGCCAAGATCATAAGTTTTTACCAAAAGGAATTTTTCGCTTATTCCGAACTTTAATGATAGCACATTTAGCTGATAGATTCTTATTCGGTTAGCGAGAGAATAAAACTAACAACTTGAGCCATACGACTTAATTTCAAAATAGCCGATCGTACCAAAGTACATTCATCAATCGCAATACGAGGTTAAAAGATTTGCATTTATTTAGTCTTACAACTTTTGCTAGAGTGCGATGAAAATGAAAGTTACTGATGACTTTCAAGACTAGTTTGCTTACCTGAATTCCAGCTTCTCGCAGTGCTGTCAAGGTTTCCGGTACCCCATCCTGTAGTCGATCTTCCACACCAGTGCATCCAATTAACATGAGATCTCTTTCAATTTTCTTGTATACTTTGGATAGTGCCGCAGTTCTATTCTCCATCAGTGATCTAACTTCATTTAATTCAGTCTGTAGTGATGTCCATTCACCGGGTTTCAGAAGACGCACTCCTTCAACCAATGTTCGAAGACCAAAGGACGCGAATTGGCCTACATTGGCTATCACTTTTTCCTTCGAAATAACAGCTCTTTTCTGAGTTGGATTAGTGAATACGTAGAGTCCGTCTATTAGAGGATCGCCGGTTTTATCTTGAAGAAATGGAATGTTCTCCATTGAGATGCTCTGTAAAGATATTTCTAAATTGATTTGGAAGCACTAAGCATATGAACAATATATGTTAAAACCTTAGCTTATATGAATTAACTTATATATCTAATCAAATCCTTGTAGTTTGCATGGCTTGAAATATTCAGAACAGATTTGGAAATCGTGTTTAGCGAGTGACCATTAAATACAAACAACCGTACACAAGATCTGCCAGCAACCAGTTCAATTCTCAATACCGTTGAACCCAAGAGAAGCTTCCATTGAATTTGATTACTTGCGCTTGTCCCAATAGTCTAATCAAGACACCTACTACGTTGCCAAATTTGCAAATTCCATGCTTCTTCTCGTACACAAAGCTAAAGAAACCAAATATTTAATACTCAAATTGGCTCATCAGACAGATCAGTCACAATTCTGATTAAATAAGAGGAATAAATGGGAAAATGTTTTGCTATATTTTCAGTCATATCTACTCAACTAGATAATCTCCTGTTATAAAATTGCATTAAAATCCAGGCAGTAATAAGCAGGAGACACTTGACCAAACGTTAAAATGGGAAATTATCAAATAACTGACCAACTGAGCCCACACAGTGGGATTATTAGCCAGACGCATTGCTTAAGTCTGGTCAACATTATTATTATTTCAAATGGCAGGCTTTATGATATTTATCATTTGCCCTAAAGCTTTGACCTTAGCCTTCCCA